GGACCCATATACCGAGGGTGGTGGGTTTGAATGTGGCCACGGCCAAACTGCAACAAAAAATAGCTTGGCGTCGTAGCAGGCGCCTATAGTTACAGCTACTTGAGAGGCTGAGGCAAGAGAACTGCCTAAGCCCAAGAACTGGGGGTTACTGTGAGCTGTGATGCCACGGCATTCTACTGAGGGCAAAAAAGAGACTCTGTTTCTAAAAAATAAAAAATAAAAAAAATTAAAGTGTAATATGTAGTTGGCTCCCTATATCCACGGGGTTTTAAATCTGTGGATTCAATCCACCACATTCAAAAAATATTCTTTATTTTTTTTTTAAGACAGAATCTCACTTTGTCACTCTTGGTAGAGTGCCGTGGCATCACAGCTCACAGCAACCTCAAACTCTTGGGCTTAAGAGTTCCTCTTGCCTCAGCCTTCTGAGTAGCTGGGACTACCGGCACCCATCACGACATCTGGCTACTTTTTTTTTTTTTAAGAGATGGGGGTTCTTGCTCTGGCTTAGGCTGGTCTCCAACTCCTGAGCTCCAGCAATCCACCCACTTCGGCCTCCCAGAGTGCTAGGATTACAGGTGTGAGCCACTGTACCTGATCAGAGAATTTTTTTTTTGTGACAGTCTCACTTTGTCACCCTCAGTACAGTGCCATGGTGTCACAGCTCACAGCAACCTCCAACTCTTGGGCTTAAGCGATTCTCTTGCCTCAGCCTCCCAAGGAGCTGGGACTACAGGCGTCTGCCACAACACCCAGCTATTTTTTGTTGTAGTTGTCATTGTTGTTTAGCTGGCCAGGTTAGAACCTGCCACCCTCAGTGGATGTGCCAGGCGCCATAACCACTGTGCTATGGGTGCCCAGCCCAGTTAGAGAATGTTTTTAAAAAACTATACTTATGGGTGGGTGTGGTGCCTCATACCTGTAATCCTAGCACTTTGGATTTTTTTTTTTTTTTGCAGTTTTTTGGCTGGGGCTGGGTTTGAACCCACCATCTCCAGCATATGGGGCTGGTGCCCTACTCCTTTGAGCCATAGGTGCTTTCAATCCCAGCACTTTGAGAGGCCAAAGTGGGTAGACTGTCTCAGCTCAAAGGTTCCAGAGCAGTCTGAGCTAGAGCAAGACCTCATCTCTAAAAACAGACAGGCATTGTGGTAGGTGCCTATAGTCCTAGCTACTCAGGAGGCAGCGGCAAGAGAATCGCTTGAGCCCAAGAGTATGGAGGTTGCTGTGAGCTGTGTTGCCAGGACACTCTACCAGGGGTGACAAAGAGATGCTCTCTCTCAAAAAAAAAAAAAAAATTCTATCTGTACCAAACATAAACTTTTCATGTCACTATTCCTCACACACAGTATAACAACCACTTACAATGCATTAACCACAATATTAGATATTATAAGTCATCTAGAGATGATTTAAGCATATGCAAATACTATACCATTTTCTACCAAGGACTTGAGCATACAGAGATTTTGGTGTCCTCTGGGGTCCTAGATATAATACCCCATAGATACCAAGGGACAAATGTACTCTTTTTTTTTTTTTTGAGACAGAGTCTCACTATGTTGTCCTGGTAGAGTGCTATGGAGTCACAGCTCACAGCAACCTCCAACTCTTAGGCTTAAGTGAGTCTCCTGCCTCAGCCTCCCAAGTAGCTGGGACTACAGGCGCCCATCACAATGCCTGGCTATTTTTTTGTTGTAGTTGTGATTGTTGTTTAGCCAGCCTGGGCCATGTTCGAACCCGCGACCTCAGTGCATGTGGCCAGAGCCATAACCAATGTGCAATGGGTGCCAAGCCTGTACTCAGTTCTTAATTTTTTATTTTTAGTTGAGGACAAAAAGCTTTTATTTTTACTTTATTTTTTTGAGACAGAGTTTCAATTGCCCCGTGGTTGAATGCTGTGGTGTTATAGCTCACAGCAGCCTCAAACTTTTCGGCTCAAGTGATCCTCTTGTCTCAGCCTCCTGAATAGCCGGGACCATAGGTGCTCACCACAATGCTTAGCTATTTTTTTAGAGGTGGGTTTCAATTTTGCTCAGGCTGGTCTTGAACTCCTAAACTTAAGCAATCCATCTGCCTTGGCCTCCCAGAGTGCTAGATTACAGGTGTGAGCTACCTCGCCCTTCCTAGAGCAAAAAGCCTTTATTATCAACTTTTTATTTTTATTTATTTATTATTATTATTTTTTTTTGAGATGGAGCCTCAAGCTATCCCCCTGGGTAGAGTGCCGTGGCATCATGCTCACAGCAACCTCCAACTCCTGGGCTCAAGCAAGTCTCCTGCCTCAGCCTCCCAAGTAGCTGGGACTACAGGCTCCCACCACAACGCCTGGCCATTTTTTGGTTGCAGCCATCATTGTTGTTTGGCAGGCCCGGGCTGGGGATTCAAACCCGCCACCTTAGGTGTATGTGGCTGGAGCCTTAGCCACTTGAGCCACAGGCGCCGAGCCTTTATTTTTATTTTTTTGAGCCCAAATCTCATTCTGTTGCCCTGGGTACAGTGTGATGGCACCAGCCTAGCTCACAGAAACCTCAGACTCCTAGGTTCACGAGATCATCCTGCCTTAGCCTCCTGAGTAGCTGGGACTATTGGTACCTATCACAAAACCTGGCTAATTTTTTCTTTATTTTTCTTTATTTATTTTTTGAGACAGTCTCACTATGTTGCCCTGGGTAGAGTGCCGTGGCATCACACCTCACAGCAACCTCAAACTCTTGGGCTTAAGCGATTCTCTTGCCTCAGCCTCCCAAGTAGCTGGGACTACAGGCGCCCACCACAACACCTGGGTATTTTTTGGTTGTAGTTGTGACTGTTATTTAGCCAGCCTGGGCCAGGTTTGAACCTGCTAGCCCTGGTGTATGTGGCCGGCACCCTAACCACGAAGTACAGGCGCCCACCTGTATAGAGAAATAGCCTTTTCTCTATTTCTAGTAGAGTCAGGATCTTACTCTTGCTCAGGCTGGCTTGAACTCCTGAGCTCAAGTGATCTTTCTGCCTTGGCTTCCCAAAGTGCTAGTATTATTGGCGTGACCCACTATACTTGGCCACTATAAACTTTTCTTTCTATCTTTTTTTTTCAAAGAGACAAGAGTCTCACTTTGTGTTGCCCTTGGTAGAGTGCCGTGGCGTCACAGCTCAGCAACCTCTGCTCCTGGGCTTCGGCGATTCTCTTGCCTCAGCCTCCGAAGTAGCTGGGATTACAGGTGCCTGCCACAACACCTGGCTATTTTTCTGTTGCAGTTTGGCCAGGGCTGGGTTCGAACCCACCACCCTTGGTATATGGGTCTGGTGCCCTACTCACTGAGCCACAGGCACCACCCTATAAACTTTTTTTCAAGCTTAAAAATTCATAATTTCTAGAACCGGATTGTAAGTTGTTCTTTCCGGAATTACACTCAGATAACGTATGGCAAGAAGGGTAGATTATCCATTGTTGATGACATTTTTAAAAAATTAAAGATCTTCTTACTTTAACATTAAATATACTAAAAACATATAATGCAATTGTTTAAGCCAAAGCATTCCTAAAAGGGGGTTTTAAAACAAACACAGGCTTTGGATCTTATCACTAAAAATTATAGGACATGACCAGTAGCTCTCTTATATAAAATAAATATTTTAGACATATATATTAACATGTTGAACACAGAAACAGCGACAAATAAAAGCTAATCATAATTTAGGCTTCAATCCCCTGCTAAGACTGCTTGGCGTATTTCTTAGTTTCACCTACCATTCCCGGGCGAGCTTCTTATAAGCCTTTTTAATATCAGCCTGACTGGCTGTTCGGCTGACCCCTAGGACTCTGTATGGGTCAAAATCCAGCGCAGACAGAATTTGCAGGATCAGAACCAGAACTATCAAGAACTGCCAGGAAATGCTCAACTTTCTCACTTCCATTTCTCTTCCTTTCCAGAGCTGAAATGATTGAAGAGGCAATAAGTTTCAGTGGCAGAAAACGGGATAGTTTTGCTTTTTAGGTAAAAGATAGATAGATGAAAACCAGAACAAACAAAAGGTATTTTGCAGGAAAAGTGTCAAACTATTTGACCGTATCTTTTAAAACAAAAAAAATCTTGCTACCACTTTTGAATATCACAAATAAGACCTATTATAGGTGAATAGATGAGCAGTTAAGATTTAATAGCGACTCTCCAGAACCCTTGATTAGAAAAGCTTTAGAAATGACTGAAAATGGAGGAGATGCAGAAATAATAAGTAAATGTGAGAAAACATAAATAGGGTAATTAGGGTGACTACTTCTTCCATATACTATTTCATTTATTTTGACAATAGTTTAAACAAAATAAGTGGTTTAAGAGTAAGTCACTGAAGACATGTTAAATAATCTCATAAAATTGTAAGATTTGGCATGTGCTAAACTACAAAATCAGATAGTTATGGTGTTCTTGGGTGTTAAATAAGCACAATTATGAAAGTGAAATACTCTTTAACTGTGCAGTTAAGACTTAGTATGCCTCAATTCCATTCTTTCTCACCATGCCCATTTAAACAAGAATATGAGAAGCTGTTCTGAAATACAATTGTTAGTAATATGGTCATCATAAATGGAAACTTCAGGTGAGAAAAAATTTAGTTTTGAAAGAAGACAAAAATTAATGGCAAAGTTTGGAAAACAGGCAAGGTCTTAAAAAATTTAAGTTTTATCTCTGGTGAGTGTGGTGATCGAATTCATTGTGGGTTTTGGAAATAATCCTGGCTGGTTAGTGAGCAATGCATTGTAGACGTATTCAGAATTATGATCTTTGTTATACTATACAGTGTCTTTTCAAGGGTCACATTTATCTTAATTTTTGACGAATTAATAAAGTTTTAAGGTTCAAGTGTTAATGTGACACCTAACTCAAGAGGGAGAAATCTGTTAAGAGCGGTGGATCTTGACAAGTGGGACTTTAATGCTTCTTAGGAGTCCTCAGAAAATTGACTCACTTCATGACCAATGTTTAGAACTGCATGCATGCAGAATCAAGTCTTAAGCCAGTTTCTCTCTCATTAAGGCAACCTATTCTGTCCTATAAAAAACCTGAAAGTGATGTAGCTGCTGGTTAAGTACATGGGATTTGGAATCAGACTAAGATTGGTGTTATAACCAACTTTATAACCTTAGGCAATTTCCTTAAACAAACTAAACCTCAGTGTCCTCACTCATGAGAATGGATAATACTATCTTGGATCATTATGGGGGATTAAAATGTATGTAAAGAATTTAACTGAGCACCAAGTCAACAGCCAATTAAGTGGTAGTTAGTATTATTATTTCCACCATGCCGTACGATCACTGCCTTGTTCAATGCTCTCTGTCTCCTCCAGTTAGAGGGGCCCAAGTGGCGGGGGCTGTGAAGTTCTTTTGCCGACAGTCTCGAGCTAGAGGGTGCTGGGCTCACAGCAGGAAACCACCTGCCCAACAGGTAGGCTGCATCTCCAGGACCCCGTATAAGCTTCCAGAGAGAAACTCTAGGTCTGAGTCCCGCCTCAAGCTCCCGCTGGAGGTCGCAACCTTCCAGGAGACCGCCCCCTCCCCCGCCGCCCTCCGAGAGCCCTGGGCCGAGCCCTGTGGACTCCTGGTTCCCCCCTGGGCCCACCAGGGACTGGTAACGACAAGAAATTGACGGAAGACCCTTGAGCCTGCCCGGCTCCGCCGCACTGGCGGCTCTGCGCATCACGACGGGAAGGAGTTACCGGGAAAGCGCACCAGCCCAACCGGCTGCAGCGTCCGTGCTCCAGTTAATCCGCTGGGCCGGGATCTTCCCGTCCACACCAGCGCTCGCCCGGACCGGGGCGGGGAAAGAGGCGGGACCAGTAGAGGGAAGTCACATGACACTTAAAGGTCCGGAGCATTGAAGGCGCGGATCGATCAGGTCGAGGGCGTCTACTTTGCGAGTCTGTTTTGACCCTTGCCACTTGCCGTCCGCGTGTAGACCTGACGCGGTTGCTATAGGAACCAGGCGCTCTCTTTGGGTAGAGCCAAAGGGTAGATCGTGACCAAAGAGGCCCAAACGTGCTTCCTAGCGAGGCGAGGTCGCTGTGCATGATGGGATGCCATAAAGACCTCCCCGATTCTGGGAGAGGTTTCCACTCCTATTAGGGAGGGCCCTGGTCTAGCAACGGTTGCTAGGATGGGGAAGCAATCGCTAGTCTCGGTTCTCTTAAACGCTATTCATAGAATCCTAGAACGTCAGATTGGGAAGGGACCTTAGGGATTCTCCAACTCCTTATATTGATGGGGAGGCCGAAGCCCAGAGAGAGGCAGGGACTTGCCCAAGGCCTGGAATCAGGACTCCTAATCCCATTTACTGAAAAAACGAAAAAGGGGAGCTCCACCCAAGAATGAGCCAAGTCTTGGCCAAAGCACCAAAAAGGGTAGTGGGATAGGGAGAGGGGAAAGGCACAGGCGAATGAGGTAAACTTTCTTTGAGCCAAGGAGATAACTCCCTTGGGGATATAAGGAGCTTTCACACCTTTCTGTCTTGTTTTTACATATTTTTTCTCGCTTGTATTCATCACTAACATATCTTTTAAAATTTGTATTATTTATCTCCTGACTCCTCCCACTGGAATGTAAGCTCCTAAAAGCAGGAATTTTTGTCTTTTTTGTTCATCTTTATATTCTGTTTGACGTTGGCACACACTAATAAGTATTTGTGTAATAAATGAATGAATGGGATTGCAGTTTTGCTGCTCAAGCGATTATATTCTAGGGTGGATTCTTAAGAGTATTGACTGTGGAGTCAGGTTCCGGTTTGAAACTTGTCTTCCTCTTCTGTTTATTGGCCCTGTGACCTCTAACAGTGACAACTTCCTTGAGCCCCAGGGCCTACAACAGGGAAGAGGGAGAGGAGTGAAGAATAATTCCCTTCCCTGGTAGGGTTGTAGTCAAGGATAAATGAGATTAAGCATGTAAAAGTGGCTAGCACAATGGCTGGGATTTAGCAATACTCGATACACAGAAATAATTATTTTTTGAAATGTGGAAATGAGCCATACAAAACTATGGGAGTTCAGAACTAGATTTCTGCTATTTTAAAAAATTTTTGTGAGAAGTGTTAGGAGGGAAGAGAAGGGAATGGAAGACTGAGAAAGGATGGCTTGGTTGGATCAGTAAGCTGCGATCTGAGCACGGGGTGAGGGGCTAGGAGGGGAATTTATGGTTTACTGGGGCCAGGGAGGATAGCGGGAAGCCATACTCAAGAGGGTTGAATGGGGCAGGACAGATCATGACTCCAGAAATGGCTGTCCCTCTTGCTAGTAGTGTTACCCGGTCGTGAATCCTGGCAAGGGGTCCGTGGCAGTCAGTCTACTTTTTCATATAAGTACCACGCGCTAACCGATCGCGCCACTGGAGCTCCAAGGAGTCGACTTTTTCCATGGCCCACAGACTGCGGGGACCCTGGCCGGTCTCCGTCTGCTTCAGGACCTCCCCCGCCGCCAGGAATTGGTGCCCCTTTGGCAAAGCAGCCCCTGTTCTCGGTTGCGGGCAGTGGGTGGGCCCTGGGGGCGAGGCTGGCCGCGAGTGGGCCGTGACACTCAGGTTTGTCCGTGGGGGCGCAACAGTAAGGAAGGGATAATCCTGGGGGCGGGGCGCTGGGGGTGGGTGGGGAGACTGGATTCTGGGGGCGGGGCGAGGACGAGGAGGGCGTCCTAAGGGCGGGACGGTGAAGGAAAGTTGACCGCCACCCGGGGCGGAGCAATGGAGGGTCTGCATCCTGGGATTGCGGGGCTTGAAAGGGTGGGGTGCGACCGCGGAAATGGATCCTGGGGGCGGGGTTATAAAGAGGCGGGATCCTGGGGCAGAGCGGTGACCGGAGGCGGGACCGTGGGGGCGGGCCAGTGACTGGAGTACTGCCCCTGGGGGCGGGGCCATAGTGGGCTGAATCCTGGGAGCTGAGCGGTGACGCTGGCTGGTCCTGGGCGGAGGCGGGTCTCCGGGATCAGGTGGGGCGCTTCGGCCCAGGCCCGGAAGCGGACTGAGGAGGTAGGGATTCCCCGCAGTCTGTGGGCCATGGAAGAAGCAGACCGGCAGCTTCTTCGGCGGTGCCGGGTGCGGCTGGTCAGCGAGCTGCAGGTGGTCGCGCTCTGGGACGCTCTCCTGAGTCGCGGGCTGTTCACGCCTGACATGATCGAGGACATAAAGGTGCGTCCCCGCCCCCGCCCAGCGGGCACCAGCGCTTCCCGCGCGCCGCTCAGGCCACCGGGTTGCGGGTAGGTGCAGCGAGGTCGCGCCCGGAGTGTTGTTGAAGGCACACCGGTACTTAGTGGCCGAGCTCCCTCTCCCCACGCGCAGTACTGTCCAGTACCCATCCCTTTTGAGGAACCGTTGCATGAGAGCCCCGTTTCCCCTTACGGCATCGAACCCATACAGTCCTCCAGCTGAACCCAAGAATTCCAAACATCTCTTTGTGGAGTGTTTTGCTAAAGCGATTCCACGTCCTGCATCATCAGCGTACGCTGTTAAATAAAAGGAAAATCTGAGGCTCCAATTAAATTTTGAAGAGTTTTTTAAAGAAGCAGTTCATGAATTGGGGGACACCAGACTGAAAAAGGTTTAGTGTTACGATGACAAAACGTCAGAGGCAAGTATTTATTGGGACGATGTGGAGGCAAAGTAGATTATTTGATTGGCTTGCAGTCTGGAAATTGCCTTTTTTTAGGTACCTTGGTGGAAAGTCCGTAGTTACACAATCCTGTTAGTTTGACTGCTTATGGGTGGCTGGTTGTTTTATTTTTGTCTAACATAAACATTTAACAGAAGTGACCCTCGTTGAATTTCATTTACGTTTGCCGTTTAAGTAAGATTCCGGTCAGTTATGAGACCTACTTGGTTTTGTCTGCTCAGGAGTATCTTCACTAGCATGGAAGTTCCAAGCACTTTGATATCAAACTCTCTGACAGCATGTCCTTTGGCCTCTTTGAGTCTCAATTACTTGGGCTATGAAATGGGGAAATAATGTTGTCATAGGGCTAAATGAGATAGTGGATGTGAAACTGTGCGGTGCCAGGCACTCATTTTCCTCATCTGGGAAGTGGAGAAATTGTAATTTAACCCCTCAAGGTTGTAAAGAGGAAAAAAGTGAAATCATCCACTTAACAGTGTCTGACCCACTGGGGAGTGTTCAGCAAATGCAGAGAGAAATCCTGACACAGCGATCTGTTTGCCTGCAGCTAACTGTTTTGCTAGTGAGACTCATCTTCTCAGGGACACTGTTGGTCTGTGCTGTTCACTGTAGTAGCCATGAGCCACATGTGGGTATTTAGATGTAAATTCTAAGTAACTAAAATTAAAGTTAAAAATTCAGTTCCTTAGTTGTACTACCCAGGTGCTCAGTGGCCACTGTGGCTGAAGGCTTCCATATTGGATAATGCAGATGAAGAACATTTCTATGATCATGGAAAGTCCTCTTGGACAGTGCTACTGTAGGGTATGTGAGGACAGGGTGGTGTCTTATCCTGAGGAACTAGTCCAGTGTTGGTTCTCTAAGGACAGGCGGCAGCTAACCCTCATCTTCCTCCTTTCTCAGGGACCAGCCCTGCCATTCTGACATCTGTTGTGACCATCTTGTCACCTCTGTCTGTCCTGACTTCACCATCTTTGCCACCCCTTGTCCTGGCTGGCTCAATCTTTTTCATTGTCCACCCTGACCCCAGGATGATTTTTTTCTTCTTTTTTTGAGACAGAGTCTCAGTATGTCGCCCTTAGAAGCGTACGGCACCATCATAGTTCACGGCAACCTCAAACTCTTGGGCTTAAGCAATGCTCTTGCCTCAACCTCCCAGTAGCTAGGACTACAGACACTGCCACAATGCCGGGCTATTTTTTTGTTGTGGTTGTCCCCGGCCGACTATTTTTTTGTTGTAGTTGTCCCGGCTGAGTTCGAACCCGCTCGCCTCAGTCTATGTGGCTGGCGCTGTAACCACTGTGCTATGGGCGCAAGCCTTTTTTTTTTTTTTTCAAATTTATTTATGTCGTTGTAGTTGTCATCGTTGATTTTAGGTGGCCTGGGCTGGGTTCGAACCCGTCAGCCTGGGTGTATGTGATTGGTACTCTATCCATTGAGCTACAGGTGCTGCCCGTAGCATGATATTTTGAAAAGGCAGATCTGACTCTGTCACTCTTTCCTAAAACTCTTAGGGGGCTCCTGCCAGCTCTCAGGATGAATTTCTTAGCCTGCTCATACAAAAGCTGAGTCCCTTGCCTCTGTCACTCATACAAAAGCTGAGTCCCTTGGCTCTGTCCCTCTACCTTCCTTACAATTCTCTAAATTCACTCTTCACTTCCTGATGTTCCCTGGTCTCTCAGCTATGACTTCCCCTCCTGGGGGCTTTCCTGACCCCCTCCCCCCACTGAGTTGGGTGTCCCAGTACGTTCTCAACCCCTGTGTCTTCCCTCTGGGCACTGCTGCCCTTGCTGTGTCATTGCATACCCCATTAGGGATCGCTCCTTGAGGGTTATGGCTGTTCACTTAGATGCCTCCAAAATACTGAATAAATAGGTAGACACTGCACCTGCAGGCTCCCATTTTTGCCTATGTGCCTGATTGTTTAGACTTATACTAGAGGGAAAATGGGGGGACAGGGTGAGAGCCACATGAAAGTCTGTGGGTCATTAGCATTGTGTCTTTTCTTTCCAATCAGCGGGCAGGCTCTGGATCTCGGCGGGATCAGGCCAGACAGCTGATCACAGATCTAGAGACTCGAGGGAGGCAGGCCCTTCCCTTGTTCATCTCCTGTTTAGAGGACACAGGCCAGGACACGCTGGCATCATTCCTGCGATCCAACAGGCAAACAGCAACGCTGTGGAAGCCGACCCCAGGAAAACCTACCCCAGT